CCTACTCTACAATGCCGCTGATGACGTCAACAGCTCCCCGAAGTATGAGCAGATCTCGGCCAATGCCGCACGCTTCAAGCACCAGGTATGTCTCTCGTATTACTCACAACCTCGTTCCCCAACTCACAGATGCCACTTGCACCCAAGGACCACCATGCGCCCATCCAGCATACAGCAGCGCAGCTCGGCTAAGGCTGCCTGCTCCTTCCAGCTCGCCCGTGAGCGCGTGAGCCTGGCACGCGGCAGGCCCTTCTCTATATCGAAGTGGCCTGCTGCTGCGTGCTGTGCTGCGGTACTGGGCCCCGGCCCAGAAGCTTCCGGTAGGCCCAGGGAGGCTGAGCCTCAGACCGAAGGAAACAGGCCAAGGGCCTGAGGCGGTTACCAGCACCCAACTGCCCTCAGCCTTTGTTCGGTCCACTTTGTGTATCTGGCCCAGGCCTTGCCTTAGTTACATGCAATGAAAGGCAGCCTGGGGCTCGGTGCTTCCAACCGACTGGCGCTGCGCAACTGCCTGAATTTCCCCAGTTGCGTAGTAGTCCAAAATAGGCCTCTTGGGGTCTGTCGAGCCTGCCTTCACTTAGGGCGGTCGACTCTGTTGCAATAGGGGCCCAGTAGGGCTTATCAAGGCCTTGTGCCTCGCACAACATGAAAATGGAGCATTCAGATAAAGCTCACACAAGCTTGATCTATGGCCATGAACAGTGCAAATTCGAAGTTCCACTCAAGGTCCGATAATATACAATTGAAAAAGTTCGGGATTGAGCAGTCTGCACCGCGGTAACACATCTCCAGTAGGTACCCGACTCTTCCCCTTCCAATCTGCTCTCTTCTTCCCACTCTCTCTCTCTCTCTCTCTCTCTCTCTCTCTCTCTCTCTCTCTCTCTCTCTCTCTCTCTCTCTCTCTCTCTCTCTCTCTCCTGTTCATCCCTCGATGCTCCCCACCACCCTTCCTCCCTCTACAATGTCCCAGATCTACCCTGAATGCCTCTGCTGTGTGTCTCGCAGCAAACGGGCCGCTATGGCTGCCGAGCACTTCGTCTCCTCCCTCCTGGCTATGGTGGTTTGTCGCAGCCAGGGCGCTGGTCTTCTTCCTCCCTTCAGTGTTCTTCTTCCTCCAGGTCGCTAGTCTGCACAAGCTCCAGCAGCGCTTCCACAATTTTGCAAAATGAACAAATAACTGTCCTTTGGCGCTGTAGCCCAAAATATGTAGTTGCAGTGGGCTGTGTGTGCGTGCTTCAATCGGTACCAGCCTCCTTCGGCCTCTACCTTGCCAAGGTGCTATTTTGGTCAAGTTCCTGACTTTCTGGTGAGGCTGCTGCAAAACTGGACTTTTGGGGACTTGACGTGCTCCTACAGGTGCTGCATGGTGCTGTAGACTACTGGCCTGCGACGCCTGATCCTACAGGCCCTAAGGTTGTAATCTACGGGGCCTTGGACTGGGATAATTCAGGACCTTGTAACCGGGACTGGGAAAGCTTGCAGCGTGAATCCATTCACTTAATATCTTTTAGTTATTGATAGTTATATTTATTTATTCAGGATCGGGGGATGCTCTCCCACCTAGCTACTCTTTTGCACAAAACAGTCACATCGTTGCCGAAAAATGCTCTCCAGATCTCTTCTGACATACTTAGCGAGGAGGATGTTTTCTGGGTTGTCCGTTTTTGAGAACACTATGAACAGCTCCTCTGGAAATTCTCCAGGAATTCTGTGCGCCAGAATGCGTGGCCATTAAGCCGTTTCTGCTCGCCTGCATGTCAAATATGTTACTATCATACCTTTCCCGGCCTTTTGGCTAAGATCAAGTGTAGTATCTGTTCTGCTCAGTTTAATATCTGATCCATCAGGTATACTATTAAAAAAATAAAATAAAAATAAAAATGTAACATCATGTTCGAGGGCCACTTAACTGCAGGCGGTTTTTGAGGATGGTTTGCGAAGGCACACTAACAGTTGTTGTTTCCCCTTCCCCTCCCCCCCCCCCCCCCCCCCCCCCTCCTTTCCCCCCGCCCAGTAAGTGGGTTCGTGAGCCACCTTAACTGCAGGGAGTTTGTGAGGGTGGTTTGCGAAGGCACCATAACAGTTTTTTTTTCCTTTTTCTTTCTTTTTTAACTGTAATTGGGTTCCGTGAATAAGTTAGAGCCGCACCGGGCCACTTGTTCCTTTCGTAGGCTGACAGAAGCCCCGAGATGCTATTCGCCAAGGCTCATTTCGTTTTTGTATTGTTTTGACCGGCACCACCAGCCATTTTGGTCAGGTAGCACTGCTCATCCGAAGGATCTGCAGTGTCGCGTTTTCTATTCCCATGTTTGCCTGGGTGAGGTGCTGGTGGATTAACCCTGGTGGTTGGCTTTGGGCACTGCCCCAAGCCGATACCCTGATGTGGGCACCATCCACTGCCCTTGAGGGTACCTGTGATGGAAGTCAAAACAGACTATCACCCACCTCACACCATACAGAAGACTGTACGGACAGCTTTGGACACTACCCCAAAGCTGATACACTGATGTGGTCTCCATCCACTGCTCTTGAGGGTACCTGTGACGGAAGTCAAAAACAGACTATCACCCATGCCACACCATACGGAAGACTGTACAGACTTTAGGTTCAACCCCCATCATAAACCAGCAACCCCCCCATGAAAAGAAGGTAGGTCTGCCACAGCCAGGAAATACACTGCAGAGTCTGTGCAGACACACTGAAGGCATTTCTTTAACATTACCTGACAGGTGCAGAGTGTTCTTGATGTCAAGTTAAGCCTGGTGGTGAAATTGAAATTAAATGTACTAAGGACATGTATGTTGAAATAAGTCATTATTTTTTCATTCTTAGCATTTTTGTTGCATTAGCCTACAAAAAAAATAATCTATCTTGTTTTTGTTCACTTTACTTTCTCGTTGTAACCATCTGTTTTTTTAGCTTTTTGTTTTGTTATGTTTCTTCTGATTTCTCTACACATGGCCCTTATGGGCTGGGCTACACACGTGCTACAATGGCAATGACAATAGGAAGCAAGGCTTTAAGGCGGAGCGAATCCTGAAACATGTGACGGGCGGTGTGTACAAGGCCTGAGTACATATTCACCGCGGCATACTGATCCGCGATTACTAGCGATTCCAACTTCATGTTCTCGAGTTGCAGAGAACAAGTATTCTCGAATATTCAAATCTTGATACAATAATTCTCCATAATAATAAATTGAGTCAAGAGTTAAACTGATAGACCGTAGTTCACCCGGGTACCAAACATGGTTAAGACTGGTGGTCACCTGGGTATTACCATGGTGACGACTGCAGGTTTGCAGCATCCTCTCTCTTTTGTTCATTCCTTTTTCTTTTTTTTTTTGACTATTTCAGATGTCTCGATTTATGGATGTCGTCCTGCATGTCATCCTCGCGCAGGGGGCCCATGCTAATCTTCTCTGTATCGTTCCGATTTTAAGGGATGTCCCGAAGGACAGGTTTGCTGCATCCTGTTCTGTGGCAATTGATCAGAAAGAATACTGAGAGAAGATTTGCCTGCACCCTTGTGTGTGCCTCAATCAGTTTTTCTGTCAGAGGTTGCCAGTCTAATCTGATGGCTTCCACCATAATGAAGGTTGGGAGGGAAAATGATCCACTTTTTTTGGGTGCCTCTGCAGAAAAAATGACACTTTTCGTTTCTGTTGTTGATGAATGCCTCTTCCTGCTATGTGTAGACACAATTATCTTCCCATTTGCACTTATGTTCTTCTGCCCACTGAATCCGCCTGTTTTGCATTGCTATGGGAGTCGTTTTGAAGCTCAGAAACAATGACTCAATAGATGATGCAGGAGGGTGTTATTTGCAGGATGTATTGGCCCAATTTGACCGCGATTAAATCAAAATATAGTCCAAAGAGTTTGTGGGAGTAGGACGCTAGATATCGGTACACAGTTTTTTTTTTTTTTTTAACTCATCTATATTCTTCACTCGTATACCTCACTCTACCTACCCTCTTATCTAAGTACAGTTTGCAAGTATTGATCGTTGCAGTCTATGAATGCGCTCGAGCCGGGGGACCCTTAGAGGTATAGGTTGGCGCCGACCTCCACCCATGTCTGAGCACCGCAGCTTTTTCCTAACGCTGGCGCGGGATGTTATGCCCAAATCCCTGCCAGCACCTGCCAGGGCGGGCAAGGCATCTATCTCTGCTGGTTTAGCCTGAAGTGCCCTTCACGACGTACTTTTTTTTTTTGGCGAGGAAATGGCTTTAAATTAGGCAAATGGTTGATGGGATTGCTGCGGTTAATATACACCTCGAGAACAGGAGAGTGTAAGGAATGAATTAACAAGCAGTCTAGGGTGAGGCGGCCCATGGCGGGCAGGGACAGGGAAGGGTCACGGGCAGTCCCAGGGCATAATATTAAAAAAAAAAAAAACGAAAAAGAATGTTGTGTGAAAAATAAAAACAACTTTTGGGCAGGGGGTCCCCTCGCTGATCGGTATTAGTAGGGTACTTGGCCAACATGGGTATGGGCGCGACCGTGAGTGGCTTGTGTGGTGTGTGGGAGAGCCAACACGGGTATGGGTGCAAGCAGTATTACCTTGCCTCTTTTTTACCCTTTCTGATTTCGCCGGGCGACCCTCCCTCTGCCCAGCTGGTGGGGGCGTGCCTGGCTGGGTGACATCCCGTCATAGATAAAAATCTATTTTTATGCCTCTGCACAGGGGGGGGAAATGCTCTGCTCTTGGGGGCGTAACTTCCCTCTTCGGCAGTCTCCCCTCTGGGGTTGGTGTTCCTCTTTCCATGATGTACACTGTTTCTGGTAGCAATATTCTCACCCTTTACTTTGGATACTACACTCTTGACGTGTTACTACACTTTCTCTGTGTGACCTTGATGTCGGTGTATGCAAGAGATACCAGCCAAGGATTGAAGATTTGGGTCTGATGGTTTTTGCGAGTACTAATGAGGTTGCTTGCTTATTTGCTTCGTTTCTTTCTTGGTTCCTTTTCTTTTGTGACTTGATTTGGTGAAGAGCGCCATTATCTCTTTTAGAGCTGCAGGGATCTTGTGGCTGAGCTGCGAGTGGAACTGCCATCATGTCGTCCAATATGTCGTCCAACATGTCTTCCCCCGCTGTGGTGATGGCCCCTCCATCAGAGTATTATTCTCCTCAAAAGGTAATCGCTTACCAGTATTACATACTATTACTAATTTACTACTATTCTTTTTTTTTTTTCCATTTTTTGAAAGATGACGGCCTTATGAGTTGTGATTAAAAACAAGAAAAAAGAAAAAAGAAAAAACGATAAAAAGATGACGGCGTTGGTTTGGATATTATCAGCGAATTGATGGGCCCCACACTACTGATTTTCTAAAAAATGTTGTTCTTAAATTAATAGTAATTTTACTAATTTACGTATTGACAGTTATTGTTGTATAATATTAGTTCTGCCAGGACTTCCTGTACCACGCGCTGGTACTATCCTTGCTCTATTGGTATTATAGATTGCGAAGGAAAACCCTACCTCTCCAGGACATGATATCATCACATTGAGTGACGAGGAGTGCGCAAAGGGTTTTGATCCAGGGACCTACCTATCTGGTACACAAATCAAGCATGTGCCTTCATGACATACGTCACATAACCCATTCTCTTTCTCTCCTTCCCTCCCTCCCGACATTCCACTCGTTTGTGCTTAGCATGACCAGTCACTCATGCATTCTGCTTGTTTGTGCTTAGCATGAACCGTCTCTGTTGTTTCAAAGTTTCTGATCGAATGTTTGTAACTTTGTACTGTTGTGATGGATTTCCAAGAGATTGCCATGAACCCTTGACTCCTGAAACAGAACTGAGAATAAGCTGCATGCAGTTCAATCTTTAATTGTCCATGGACCTCTGCCTCCTGAAACAAAACTAAGAATGAGCTGAGTGTAGTTTAATCATTTCATTCGCCTATCCCTATCCGTTGTTGGAGTGCCCTCTTTGACCACCTCTGCGTGATAATTAACTTCCCCATCTTCTTTCGATCTTCTGTTTTTTTGCTGTTCTGCTTTTCTTTTCTTCTGATAATCTCATGTGATTTCATCAGGCATTTCTATTTCGTTGGTTGGAAGTCGATGGCTGTTGTGTATAGCATCGATGTGTGGCAACTCTCTGCATTCACCCAAGTGGTCCATGATTGCAGTCTGCGGGATTTTGTAGTCTGCGGGATTTTTTGAAGTTTTTTCAACTTTTGAACTCTTTTGTGCTATTTGGCATGCAGATTTTGTGAGTCTGTTGTTGTTAGCCCGTCTTCGTAATTTGTTTGGATTTGACTCTTTTTTTTTTTTTTTTCGATTCAATATGTGCTCACTTTGTTTCTGTCGTGGTGTGTTTTTGTGGCTTCTTATTGGTCCGATTGCTGCTTACAGCCAGTTGTGGCACAGTCTGTCAAGCTCCATGATGCAGCCCCTCCACCCCCAAGATGGCTCAATCTCTTAATGAGCATCATTTTTGTGTTTCAAGCGGTGGTGTTCTTTGCACTGTCTATTAGCGTGCAGAGATCGGACATTGAAGGCCGAGCAAGAATCTTCAAACAAAAGTTAGCTGCACCGATTGTTTTTGCAGCTATATTTGGGATTGCCACAATCCAGTTGATGAGGAAGCGTCCGCAGCATATGGTCCGCTTCGGCCCTCCTCTTGCCGTTGTCATGCTTCTTCCCGTTGCGATTCTCTTCTGCATTGGTGTGGGTGGCTGGATTTTCCTTGGTGTTTGTACACTGCTTTTCACTGCGTTGGTCGCATGGCGTACCCTCTCGACACGGAAAAGGTGATTTGACCCTGTGCCAGATTACTCCTTATGTGGATGGAAGATTTGTCTCTCTTCCTCTGCGAACTTTCTGGGTTCCACAGAAACCACAACAAAGCAAAAACGTTTTTTTCCTTCCTTTTCTCTTCTTAATTGAACACTCAAAACTAATTGTACAAAAGAACAACAAATAGGCCTGGAATCCATTACCAGGATTCAGGCTCATTCAGCAGCAAATTTTCTCTCTTTTTTGCTGCTCTGGGTTATGGTTCTTAACTTCTTATGGACAATGTGGCGCTTATTTATTCGGAGTAATATGAGCAGTAAAACCAGCGCAGCAGCCCTGCAAGTCGAACACAGACAAAATTTGGCCAAACAGTGATTGGGAGGAATGCTCGATTATCTACTTCTTTAAACTTTAAAGTTCTTTTCTAAGTTTTCTCTTTTTTGAAGTTTTTTTTTCTTTGACAGGGGCCACGCCAATCTTGTGTGTATTGTACCAAATTTAACAGATGTCGTGAAGGACTCGACTCTCCACTTCTAATAAACGCAATTCTAGATCATCGTCTGGAATCATCTAACTGTAAGTCATTGTTCATCATCAGTATTATAATCTGAATACCGTTGATGTCCAGGCTTTTGGCTTCACCCAATTCGTGTCCTGAGGTTGCCTGGAAATCCTCCGGAGTTTCAATCACATTAAGAAAATGAGTGATTTCTATCGATCGTCAGAGGCCATATGCCAGATGCACGAAAACCACCGACTTTCAATCTGGGAGCCTGAGGCAAGCTAGATCTGGTTTGGAACTTTGGATATATAATAGCGTTAATATGAAGGTAGGTATTTGTAGATGAACTAGGAAGATTCTCACGCCCGGGCGGTCCTGCCCGGCCGGGCACCCGGGCGTGATGCCCGGGGTACCCAGG